CACACACACACACACACACACTCTGCTCTGCGCTCACTCTGCATGCTGTTACCAGAGCAGGGAGCAGCAGCGGTCAAAATACCTCAGAAACTCGAACAAATAGGCTTTAACAAGGCTTTAATAAGCTAATCAATAGAGGTACATGAGAAAATGTGTTCATAACAAATGAAAATAAATAATTAAATAGTGTCCGTGCCGGTCTCGTACCCTTGTCTCCCACTCTCTGGTCCAACACTAAGCTCTACCCATTGACCTATTGGAGGCTTGTTGTGAAATGAGCTGCGCATTGCACAACAACACGGTGACGGCTTTTTATACTGAGGAGGAGGAGCCTCACCCGGGGGTTGCTAGGTAAGGGGCTGAACGCAGGTTCCGGTGGGTTGTCGTAACGGCTTGTGACATCACACAATGACGTAAGTATAAAACTTGTCGTTAATATACATTAAAAATACATTTACTTACAGTAAATATGCCCCTGGGTGCATTTTTTGGTCCTAGGACTGTTTTTTTTAAGAAGTAAATACCCAAAGTTGAGTAAAAAAAACCTTTAAAAAATGAATTTTGCATAATAGGTCCCCTTTAAAAGGTTTTTACAAAATTTCAGAGAAACGTCCATTTCAATGTCAATGCTTCAAAAGAAACACCCCCCCCCCAATTTACACTATTCAAAAACAATGTTTAAACATTTAGTTTCACATCTCACCTTCTTATCCCTTGTCCTAACTTCACCGTAAAAGTCAAGCGCCTCTTGGGCCTCTGGAAATTTTTTGCGATGGAGGAGATAAGCGCAGATCATTACTCCGGTGCGGCCCTTCCCGGCTTTACAGTGGATGGCCGCCACGTGATTGTCGTCCTCGCTGAGCCACTGGTCCAGGTCTTCACAAAACGGCTTAATCAGCTCCAGCTGAGGGGGGTTGTGGTCTTCAAAGGGGTACTGTGCAACTGATGCGTGACGGGACGCAGGCCCACGCAGAGTTGTAAAGACAGATGAAGAGACGAGGGGAACGGGGAACACATCAGCAAAAAGAATACAAAAAGAGAAAATGACAAACAGTTGGAGATTTTTTTTTAAAGAGTACATCGTCTGGATTTTTAGGACCAGATTTTATTTTCTCTAATAAAACAACTTTAAAAGCAGCATACCTCTGCAGTTAAATTTGGCAGCATCGTAGTGTCTTTCTGCGCAGCTGAAATGGGAAGAACAAACTCCAGTTAGCCATCAAACAGAGGAAGTTGGGAAGTAAACAAAAGCCAGATCAGATACAGGCAGTATGTGGAACACTTACAGGTTGTATATTTTGTAATGGTTTTTATGCTTTGAATCCAAAAACCTGCAGGCGGGAGAGAAAGAAAGAGCGAGCGTTATTGCTTTTCAAATTGGATCAAGTCGCCAAACACAAATATTCCGAAAGGAAGTGCCTCTCTTTTACATCTTCTGCAGAGACGCCACTCACCGTACTACATCGTCTATATTGTTTCTGTACACGCCTTCGAGCCTCTCTGCTGGAAAGCCCATAGCAATGATGTTTGGGTAGATATCTGTTCAGTTGGTGGGGATCAAGGAAATGCACACTGTGCACGTTTGTGGAGACCAGAACGAAAGGTGCAACCATAGAAACATCTAGAAACTTACTTAAAAGAAAGTGGAAAAGCAGTTTTCATACAAAAGTGTCTGCTTGTCCTGACAGATGACTGACGGTGAAAAGCATGCAGAGAAGACAGGAGTCACTGGCCTACATGTGGGTGACTGTTACTAGGAATGATTAGATTTCCTTAATTTTAGGAGATCGGCCAGTACTAAGGCCTAAAAGTCCCCTTTTGCTCTGCTGTGAGCACTACTTAAAGTCCAGTTCACACAAGTTTGTATTGTTTCAAGAGTTCAATGTATATATGTATGCTTTTGCTAAGTTTTATAACCTTAATTCTTTGCAGGTGTGCAGACAGATGTTGGATGTATTGTTTTCTTGACGTATATCTCACATATCAATTTTTTCACTTTTTTCCATTACATTGTTACTTTTCTTTCCTTCTTTCTCGTTTACATAAAAAAAAGGCCACTGATGGTGAAGAAGCTAAGATACTAATATTCAGATATTTAATACTGCTTTCTACTGAAGTGGTTAAAAAAGGAGTATTGTTCAATGTTTTTCAGTAAAATAAGATTGGAACATTGAAGGTGTATGGACCTTATAACACCTGACTGTGTCAGTTATTTAAAAAAAATGGGATCAGCCAAAATCAAAATTGGCAGATCAAACTTTTTAAAGAGTGATCATCGGCCGGAAAACTGCAATTGGTGCACCGCTACCTGTCACCTGCATGTATTTTTAGAGTCTGAAGTTATATTGGGACGATTGCAAATGTTTGGCTTATCTCTTGAGATCAGTAGGGGCTAATTTGAATGTCTGCGAGACGAAATGTGAGCGTCATATCATCCTACGGGTCAGGTAAAAATAAATAAATAAATGAAAGGTTGAGAAGTTTTCTGCTCCACTTAGTCTGCTTTTCATCACCGGATGGGGTTCCATGTTTCAGTACAGTACGGTGCAGGGAAAAATAAAAAAATGTGACCAACTCCAAAGTGACACATAAAATTTTAAAAAGGCAATCATCAGCGTCGTGCAGAAGTCAAGACAATAATTTAGTTGGCGTGCATGTCTTCGAGGCTTGACTRCAACGCCTACCTGCAACTGAAGTCTGCTCGTCGTCATAATCTGTAGGATTTCACACGTTAAAACCACAGACTAAAGGGCAACCTTTTCTTACGCTTCCTGTGTCACGGGGGCAAAAAAATAGAGAAGCTGAGGGTTTGTAATTGCACGAGTCTGTGCCCATTGTTGAGACAATTTTTACTAATTTTTCTTACAGTCAGAAACCGCTTTTCAAACCGTTCAGGATATTCGACGCACGCATCTGACAGTTTTGGAAGGAAAAGCACATCAGGACTCAAGCTAGYGTGCATGTACCTGCACATGCAACAAACAAACACAAAACATACAAAGACACACAATTAAATGTTCTAAATCGAATAATAAATAAATACTGGAATCCAAAACAAGTCAAATGAGCGACAAAATATGAATACAGATTTTTGCAATTTTAAAACACATTTACATTACACACATATACAT